GGTGAGCCTTCATCACCCTGAGCCTCACAGTAAACATCTGACAATTCAATCCTATGTTTAGTCCCAAACCAGTCCCATTGAGTTCACTGGGATTTATTCCCAGGCAAGTGCAACTGGGATTGCAGCCTTCATTGCGATATGTGTCCTTCCCCATTGCAAGTTGTGTTTAGAGGCCTAATTCCTTGGCTTCAGCCATTTTCAGTAGAAGAAAATAAAGAAGAGTAATTTCTTCCTTCTTGAAGATGGGGCTGCTTTTCAGCAGGTGTTGCCACTAATTGCTAGAGATAATGAGCTGCTGTCTATGGCAGAATGCTTCCAATTAATTGACAAGGACCAAGTCCATGATAGGGGGACTCTTTCCAGGAACTTTCTATTTGCAAACCTACCCCCAAAAGTTAATGGATCCTTTCTTCCAACTATGATGAGTTGATTTCTGTTCCAGGGGAACCAAAAATGGCATAGAGGATCCCGCCAACAGTGAAGAAGGAATCTAGGCTGTTAGACCAATAAAACAATATACTCATAACTTCCTATAAAGGCACCAAAATCAACAAATACGTCAGAGTTCCCACCCACCCATTGCTTGGACAGAGGAAAAGATTGCTGCAAGGCTTAGCAGCTGCTGTCGTGATGATCTCTTTATAAATTACCTTAATACATTTGTAGCCATGGGCATAGAATTTAGAGCCATGTTCAGTGTCTAGAGGTGATTTTCCATTTTTTCCTATTTGGTTCTGGCTTGAGCCCCCACCCAGGAAAACCTGGATAACCAAATTGGGTATCTGTGTAGTTAACCTGCCCCCCACCTGAATACAGACAGAGTTTTTTATTCTTTTCCAAATTAACAAACAGCGGTAGTAATGACAAAATAGCAGCACAGATGAAAAACCACAATGATATCCCCAAGTTCAAAACTTCCCACTTCCTCCCAAAACTGATATGTTCTAATGAGAGTCTGTGTCCTTTTGCCTTACTCATGATTAATCCAATGACGCCGTCTGTTAGTTAGCATTCCTTGCTTGCTCTGCCAACATAGAAAACATTGAGTATATTATGGGGCACCCCAGAAGATGGCAGCAAATAGGCTCCTGTAATTCTATTTGGGCTCTGCAGCTGCAGTAAGTAGAAAAATCAGGCCTCCTGATCTAATAAGACAAGAAGACCAGGTCTTGCAAAACCAGAAATTGCCCATGCTCAATGCACTCCAGGGTAAGGATCCAACTTGTGGGGTAGCTGAAAGCCTCCTTTCATAGTAGTGAGTTCATCTAGGAAATATGAGCTCATCTATTTGCGATTTCACCCAATAGGAATTCCTGCAAAACTGAGCAAATCCATATTTCAAGTAGATCAGCATTTAGACCTTGTAGTAAAATCTAACAACAACCAGTCAGAACGCAGGTGGGGTGCCACCACTGTTGCACCTTCCTGATGGACAGCAAGGACAGGGCAGGGTGGTGGCAATGTTGGGGGAACACCAGGTTGACAGCAGCGAGCCATGATGTCTCTGCACTTTCCCTGCCCCATTCTGGTCCCAGCAAGAGGCAGCCAGGTGGGCAGCGCACCAGCAGGGTCCTACCTCATGCAAGGTGACTGGAGAAGGCACAAGTCTCCCAAGCGATAAGCTCTGCCTTAACACAACAGCGAAGTGCATCAGGACATTTCCACATATAACCGTTCCACATATAATGCTCTGCTTAAAGTCACGATCAAGGGGCTATCATGCACCATCAGGGCCATGCGGCACGATGGCGAGCTTTATGAAACGCGGATTTTTCATGCAGCAGGAAGCACCTGTATTTCTGTTTCTGATGAGCTCACTAGGGAAAGCGCCTGAGAAAATCAAGAAGCATTGCTGCTTCATTTAATTCCCAGGAACACAGGGAAGCCCCTATCAGTGCAGAGGCGAAGCCTGAGTGGAAGAGCGGTGGGATTAGCAGCAACAAAATCAGCCCAGGAAGACAAACAGCCCACAAGACAGATGGTTAGTAAAATGCAGCAGCAGTGCTGAAGTTCTCTGCTTACGGTAGCTAGAAGGAAATCCTCCCTGGGTTTGCTTCTGCCCTCTAGGAAGACTCTTGCATGAACACCATCAGAAGGCTTGCCATCTGGCCTTGACTTTAAGGGCTTGTACCTTGTTCTTTCAGAACAGTCACAGCCTTTGGGAACATCACGATCGGCTCATGGTTGCAATCGTCTATTGTTTGATGAAAACCCATCACAAAAATCGAAACAAGCCCGCAGTATGCTGAGCTCCATTGGGACAAAGGCTGGGGGATAAATCTGCTGGATCTTGTTTTAGAAAACCTCTCCCCTCTTATACCTATGGAAGCAGTGCCCTCTGAGCTCCGTGTCCCTTGCTTGACAACATCACAGTCTCTTACAGTAAGATCCATGCATTAAATGTGTGAAGCTTATTATTTAAAATGTTAATCATTTTAAATTTTAATCCCTCATTTCTGCAGAACTTTCCATGTAGAAAACAAAGTAAAATCACAGGTCCTACATATACAGTGTGCAAATTCAATGTACATGTTGAGCCTCGTGAATTCTAATAATAGGTATGTCATCTGATTAATGTCTATTATATCCATGCTGCTTAGGAACGCAACAGCACAATCCTATGCAGGCCTACACAAAAGCAAACCCTGTGGAGTTCAATGGGGCTTAAGATAACACTCTATTGGACTGCAGCTTTCATTCCAAAACAGGTGTTAATTTGCATTAACAGGGATATATAATGAAATGAAAAAGGTATTTAAATATACCTTCTTGAAGAAACCAGAGGCCTTTCTCCTGGGCATCGTAGGCCAATTGGTGCCAAAAAAGGATAGAACTTTCTTTATGTATGCCACGACAGCAGCAAGAATACTTATTGCAAAGTATTGGAAGACACAAGATCTACCCACCTTGGAAGAATGGCAGATGAAGGTGATGGACTATATGGAACTGGCAGAAATGACCGGCAGAATCCGAGACCAGGGAGAAGAGTCGGTGGAAGAAGATTGGAAGAAATTTAAAGACTATCTACAGAAATATTGTAAAATTAATGAATGTTAGAATGATGTTGGATAAAAAGCTAAGTGGTTTTTAGCTATAACGCTATAAGGAATATGAAAAAATGGATTATTAACAGGTAAAAATTTAATGTTATAATATTTTAAGATTAAAGACTAGGATAAACAAAGAGGGAAAGGATTTGCTGAACTAATAAATTGAATTGGAATACAAAAAAGGGAGGTGTGAGGAGGTCTGGGAAACAAGCAAATGAAAAATAAGTGATGGAAAGATGGAATTGTTTTTTAACTATTTTTATTTTGTATTTTTCTTTTTTCATTCTGTAAAATCTTAATAAATATCTTTTTTAAAAAAAGAACTCTAGAGTACCTTAAAGAGTAAGAGAGTAATAAATAACCTCTTGCTTCATCAAAGGTCTTGGAATGATCATATAATGGATATCTGCTTTTTCAGGCAGTTGTAGCCTAGTCCTTTGGAAATTTACTCAATCCTAAAGAGCATGGGAGAAGCAGAGAAGACGATCTGCCACCACAACTGAGACCAGGGGGACTTGCTTGCTAGGATGGAGAGCAAATCACACACACAGCTCCAGACTGATGTAGCTGACGGGACTGAGCCTCTTGCTGGATTCAAAACTACTGGTGGTCACCTCTGTCAACAACCCATTCTGGGACTCCCTGCCTGTTGTTGCTTTTAGCTTTCCATCCATACGTACACAGTGGGAGCTTCCTCCATAGCAGAACCCTCACCAACAGTGGTGCTCCTCTCTGCAAATGAAGGCTGGAAGAAAGGCACCAACACACCACCCAAACCCCTTCCAGCCAAGAACATGGGCGAGCATAAGATCAGGAGCAGACTTTGGTAATATTTTCACAATCATTCCTTTTGGCGTAGCTGCCTTTTAATGGATCTTTTCAATAGGCCCCCTGAAACTTCACATTATTACAAAAGCACCCTCTCGGTTTGGTGCCTTATGATGGGGAACCCTCTGAACTGCCCTAAATCCATCACTGATAATCGTCCTCTTGGTCTTCATAGAATTGTATGAATGAATGTTTATTGCAGTCGCAGACCATTCATGGGCATAATGGATCGGAAGCCATGGTGAACACACACCGTTTGAATGGCAATGCCCATCAACTTTTGGGGGGATGGCCCTCTGAAATATTTTTTTGGGGGGCGAAGGGACCTCAGTCCCTAGGAGTTGACTCCTATAACACCTTCCTTGCTCCCCCAAGAGAAGCAAAGCTCAGAGAAGGTCGCTGGTCACCCTTTAAATACATCCCTCTTTCATCTGCTGGCGAGGGCAAAGGAAGAGAAATTGTTGTGTTCTTATTATTTGACGATCTGGCTAGCTGGCTGCTTCTCATGTATCAGATGTCAAGGAAATAAACAACTATCTGACTTTTAGAAGACATCTGAAGGCAGCCCTGTTTAGGGAAGTTTTTAATTTTTGATGTTTTATCGTGTTTTAAATATTCTTTTGGGAGCCGCCCAGGGTGGCTGGGCAGGCGTGGCCAGATGGGCTGGGTATAAGTAATAAATCATCATCATCATCATCATCATCATCATCATCATCATCATCATCATGCAATATTTCCCCACCCGCTGCTCAGTTTCCTCCCGGGTCTTTTCCAACCCAAACCTCCCTTGGGAGACCTCTCCACGTGCGGAAGGCTCCACACGCTCCACCACCGACGGCGCCGCCCCATCCATCTCCAGCGGGGGCGGACCATTCTGCGCCTGGAGTTCGCCCCTGGCATTGCGCTGCCGCTAAGGATTCGGCCCTTGGCAAGCCAACCCGGGAGCGAGAATCGAAACGCTCCCGCCGCTGCGAGCTCTCCGGCAGCTTCACCAGCGCGCTCCGTCGCCAGGGCCGTCCGAACTGGTTCGAGCCCGGCTGACTCGGCCAATCGCGAGGCTCCCGACTCCGGGGAGCCAATCCGCTTCGGAGAGGTGGGCGGAGGCGACGGAGCGGGTGCGCAGGGGATGCCTTGTGCGCGCTTAGAGCGCTCGCTTGCTTGCCTGGCGCCGCCGCCGCTCGCCCTCCCGCCTGCTCGCTCCCTTCCGCCGATCTCGAAAACTTCCAGCGCACTCCGGGCAAAGGAGCATGCACGGCGGGCGGAGGCGCAGCGCGAAAGCCCAGGCCCCTGGTCCCACGCCGGATCTCCGCAGCTCTTTGCCATGAAGCACTGGCTCCCGCACCTTCAGGATCAGAGGTAAGCTTGGCCGAGGTGAGGGTGTTCCTTTGGAGGGTCCTTCGTGCTGCGCTTTCCTCGTCCAGACGTAACACTGCGCAAGGTGCTTTGACCCGGGAGGGCAGGGAGTTTTCGGAGTCTCGTTCACCCTTTAAATACACACGTGCCCTAAGGATTCTGCACGCGATCCTTCACTCGATTACTCCGAAGCAATCCGCCCTTTGTTCCAGAGGGATTGACGTCGAAGAGTTGGGCATCGAGGTGTAAATCTTACGCGGGGAGATCCGTCGCGCTAGGGTAGGCTTCCTAACGTGCGAAATTATGAATGGAATCGGATTCCGAGGGGAGTGGAATGAAATGACTGGGGAGCGACAGAGAAGCAACGCGTCGGCAAACTCTGGAGATATATTTGGTGGGGTGTCTATTATTTTGAGATTTATTCAGCGTCCCCCAGACGTGACAACGTCCCAGAAAATAATGGCCATGTGTTAGAACGTCGAGGCGCCACAACAGCTTTGCTGTTGAAACTTTGATGTTCAATTGTGGCGACAAGGAAAGCCTCTGGCACCAGATTTCTAAAAATGAAGTTAGGGTAGGGGATAGAAAGAGTAGGATGCGGGGTTGAAAAGGAAAGGGCAAAATGCTGAGGAGAGGAAGCGGAGGTGCATTCCAGTTCAAGGGGAGTTGATACGGCGGCAAACGGCAGATCCCTACTTGCCCCAAGGAGAATGATGTGGGGAGCTGGGCTGCATTTCCGTGGGCCTTTAAGAGCAGCACATTTTCAGGCGCCAAGACAGAAAACAGAAAAGGGAAACGAATTGCAGGTGGAGGCAAATCTCAGTAGGGAGCTGCAAACCTGGCTAGGTAACGGTAATTGGGATGAGATGCATTCCCTACAGCAATATGTTGGGAGAAGGTGGGATGTCGAAATTGCATGGAGGTGGCTTAATAATCAGACTCTGTAAAGAAGGTGGTGAGTCAGATGGTGGCTGGGACAGGTGGGATTAAGTTTAGGTACCAGTGAGCAGTATGAAGGTTGTAACGGAATGATACTGTAGGCCCCAGGCAAAATGTGCAAGAATGTAATGATTACAAGTGCCAAAAATGAACCTTTGTTGTATATAAAGTCCCTTTTTATTTATGTAAACAGGAGTCCATTATAAGCAGAAAAACTGGGGGATATACATGTTTGTATAAAACTGGTGGGGTTGCAATTATGAGTGTTTACATCTGTTCCTCTCCCTTATCATTCACATAAAAGCAATTAGGAGAGATGCCAATAACATAGATGCAAACTTCTGCAAAGTCTCTTGTGTACAATCAAAGGGTATCTGAATTTTGTTTTCTTTGATTTGAGCATACACACAGAAAGCAAGGGAGTGGCTAATGTTAAATCCATTGAATTCAGTAGGTCTTCTCCTGAGGTCTGCTTCTGAGTATGCCTTGGATACAACCTTTCATTTCTTTTTATTTGTGAGATGATACAAAGTAATTGCTTCAAAGTAAAATATGGTTGCAAGGTTTTTTGGAATTTGCTTGGTAGATTTCAGTTAACTCCACAGTCCCAAGTAGACACCTTTCCTTAGAAGTAGGTCCCAATGATTGCCCATGGACCATCCTTTCACATAAGCATGCTCAAACTGCAGCCTATAGTTTAAAAATTAAAATTATAGTTTAAAGATTAAAATTTGTCCCTCAGCTGATATGGAAGAGCAAATGACTGGGCAGGTTGTACAGATGGACCCTCTCCTTCCTTGTGCCAAGGTTAAGGGAGAATAATCAGATAACTATCTTTCCATTTTTATCCAAAGCTAGCAGACATATTGTGCCTTGGAAGGAAACCGTTATGGCTTTTCTTCTAGCAATAAGAACAATAAGCAATTGAGTCAGTTGAAATCAATGTCACTATCTTTGCTTAGACCTAGATCAACTGGAATCCTGAAGGGAACATTTTGTACCCTGGTTCAAGTATAATGGGAAATAGCATATGAAAGACAATATTCCCTTCAAACAAGGGGTGGTAGCTTTTCTTTTATCCAGTTGTTATATGCAGGGGAGCAAGTAGAAGGAACTTTCCTCATAAAGGCTCTGTATTTAAATGCAGTTGATTAATTGATTAAAATCCATGTGATTAATCAACTTGTAATTGCTTGACAAACACTGCATTAAATAGATATTAAGATTCCTATGCGGGAATCAAAACATAGTTCAGATTCTTGTGGTTTAGCATAATTTTTCTATGTGACTGGATATCAGCCACTTGGGTTTATTTTTTCATCAGGCAGGGATGATCAAATCAGTCACTATATCAAATGCAGTGGATTGTCACAATTTGAAAACTAGGGAGGTTATCCCCCCCCCCCAACGTAACATGCTGAACCATGCTTGATATCCTATATTATTATCATAACTGAATATACAAAGCTCCATTAGAACCTTAATATTCGTCCTGATCAGCACGGAACAGCAAACCATTCTTTTTGCTAAATACTTCAAATCAAGCAAAATACTAAGTTCAAAATAATGCACAATAAACAAATACATTGCGTGTAATTTCAAATAATGTATTCCTTAGCAAAGCATGATTAAGAGATTCTGTAGGCATAGGATGGGAGAACAGAGAATAAGAAACCTCGTAATCCAACCAGTTAAGCAGTTTAAGGGAGAGAGATTTCAGCAAGTGCTTAATACTCCTGTGGAAATCTATGAATTAATATCAAACTTTGGCTGGGTAATTCTCAAGCTTGATAATGTATCCCAAAGATTTGCTTATCATTGTTGCTGGCATCTGGTTAAATTCTAAATTGGTTACATTGTTTTTTGGAAGATGTCCCAAAGAGGAAATAGCATTTCTGGTGAGGCCTGTATAGGGTGCGTAATTATTCTTCTCTTTCCTTTTTAAAAAACAACATTAGACATAATTAAAAGAGCAGGATGGTTTCCTTTTGTTAAAAGCATTGGATCCATAGTTTCTTTAACTTTTCTCTTACTTCCCACGGATTTGTAAAATCATGTCCATTGGTAGGGAAGTCTCCAACCCATCAATACCTTCTGGTAGTTTAATTCATTTGCCTTTCTGCTTTTTATCACAAAATACTTATGCTGTCTAAAATGCCCTTTTTATTCATATCTGCCTTTATTTTTGTGTTTATTTAATAAACATATTGGTCACTTTTCAGCAAAAACGGCTCTCTCAAAGTGACTTACAAAGAAGAAGATATGTAATTATTACTCATATCCATTAACATTACTACAAAGTTGGACTCGGTTCAAAACCAGGAGCCTGATTTGGAATGCCTGGCTGTTAAAGAATCAGATGGAAATCTTTCTGTTTTATTTTTCTGCAAGGACTTGCAAAGGCACAGAGAATATTTTCGTAAGAAATGCATCACTGTTTTTGCCTTAGTATTATCTTAAAATTATATGAAACTTTTCTGGCTGACTGCCTAAGGCAGCTATGGGTAGTCAGCACGGTGCCTTCTAGATGTTTGACTCTAGATCAGCGGTTCTCAACCTGTGGGTCCCCAGATGTTGTTGGACTACAACTCCCATCATCCCTGAGCTCTGGCCTTGCTAGCTAGGGGTGATGGGAGTTGTAGTTCCACAACATCTGGGGACCCACAGGTTGAGAAAGGCTGCTCTAGATGGTCCCATCGGCTCTAGCCAGCATAGCCAATGGACAGGGAGCATGGGAGTTGTAGTGCATCTGAAGGGTGTGGCACCAGCTATGCTTGCCTTAAGCTGTTGGAAACCTCTCTTTTGAACTTCATTTATCTTGGTGGTGGAGAAGCTGTAGTGCTGATCAGTCATCCCTGATCAGTGGCTATGGTGGCTGTGAGAGTTCACTGACATCCGGAGGGCCATAGCTTCCCCATCCACGAGCTAACCATATGCTTCTCTTTTAAAGTTCAGCTGCAGAAATAGCTTAGCAACAATTTCAAGTGAAAGTTAAATAGAATAGCTTTATCATAGCTGCCCTGTCCTACATTTCTAATGTATTCTTTATTTTGGGGGTGGGGGGAGCCCTGGGTATTTGAAGCAGAACATAAGTGACAGAAAGAATTCCAGTGTGATTCCTGCTATTGAACGGCTGCTTTTCTAAACGACTACAGTGGTACCTCGCAAGACGAATGCCTCGCAAGACGGAAAACTCGCAAGACGAAAGGGTTTTTGGTTTTTTGAGTTGCTTCGCAAGACGATTTTCCCTATGGGCTTGCTTCGCAAGACGGAAACGTCTTGCAAGTTTGTTTCCTTTTTCTTAAAACCGTTAATACAGTTGCGACTTGACTTCGAGGAGCAACTCATAGCACGCGGTGTGGTAGCCTTTTTTTGAGGTTTTTGAAGACTTTGGTGATTTTTGAAGCTTTTCCAAAACTTTTCCGAAACCGTGCTTCGCAAGACGAAAAAATCGCAAGACGAAAAAACTCGCGGAACGAATTAATTTCGTCTTGCGAGGCACCACTGTATGTTGTCTTCAGCCACAATTGTCTCTCCATATGTAGACACCAGGGGGACTACCAGTGATGGCAGACTTGGGCAGCTGGCTCGAAGCATGCAGGGTGTTTCTTCAGGACACAACCAACCAACCAACCAACAGCCAGCAACTGTTACAGCCGTTTCTCATGAATCGTTGCTATCCGTATTTCCCTTGTCTCAAGATGTGTAGCCTCAGAGATGTTTTGCACATCCCATGTTGAGTAGATCCCAAATGAGGCCTGCGAGTCAACTGTACCTCTGTGTGGGTTGCCTCCCCCCCCCCCAGTCATACCCAGGGCTTTTTTCCAGCCGGAACTCACCAGAACTCATTTCTGACACCTCTCAGGTGGGCACCATTGCCATTACAAGACTTTGGAGCTTTGTGCTGGGCTTTGGAGCTTTGCACAATGAAGAAAGCGAGTCGATTCCACAGTACCCACGTCTCCAACCCCGCTCGCTCTCGGGGCTCTTACTAGAGCTTACTGGGGAGCATGGGAGTCGCTAAGGGTATCTGCCAGAACACCAGGTCCTCAGAATGCTCAGTC